AGTGTTTAAACTTTGTCCAGTTTTAAAGAAGTTAAAAGTCAATTTTAAGAAAATAAAAACTCAACTAGATTGTATCACAAATCCTGTAAACGCATCATACCTAAAACAATTTTCATGAAAAGTATTTTTTTGGGGCTCTGACCAACAACGTAAAAAGTATAATTTACAGAGTTACGGCTCATTACGAAAATAAGTAATTAAGAAGAAAAAACAAAAACTACACAATTTTGAGAATATCATATAAACATGTTGATGTTGTCCTTTTTAAAAATATTTTTATTTAAATGCACTAACTAGACTGATTTTTTTTTCTGCGGTAGTAATTTTTAAATCATTCTTGGCAAAAATAACTTATTTATAATTACACAGTTTACCATTTCATATCATTTTATTTTATCTTTCAAATTTTACTCAATAATCTGTTGGCGTTATTGAGCAATTTTTTTTGACAACCTTGAATATCCCCCGGCGTCCCATAGAGTGATTAGGTGGCTGTCTCATCTGAATGTGCAGAATGTCAAAACAAAAATTCTATAACTATGTCGAGCCTAAAACGCACCAGATGTTTTCAAAAATATTTAAAATTGTAAAAATTTTAGTCTCAATTTTAAAACTTTCCCAAATTTCCCAAATTGACACATAAATGAAACATAATATTTTTTTTTCTGGCCTAATTTTGACAATAGAGATATAATGAAGTTGAAAAATGTTTATTTTACTGATTTATTTCGCAAATATGTTAAATTTAAATGTAATCTATTCATTAGTTTCAAACTTCTAAAAAAAAACAAAAAATTTTTTTAAACTGTCACACAAAGGAACTACTGAGTTTTTGTCACAAACTCTAATTTTCAGACTTGTATTATTTGACCTAACAAAATTTATAGTTTGAAATGTCAGAGATTACGGACATCGGGTTACAATTATATAGGGATAAGAAAATGAGAATTTTTGGCAAAAAATTAGTACCTTTGGCAAATTGAATATTACAATCCTTATATCTTTGCAAATTGAATATTACAATCCTTATATCTTTGCAAATTGAATATTACAATCCTTATATCTTTGGCAAATTAAATATTACAATCCTTATATCTTTGCAAATTGCAACGTGACGTCGTAAACCTGTCTTATTTCTAACTATAAATGCTGCTAGATCAGATATAAAAGATATACAACATTAGGTTGCAAAGATATTAGAATGATAAGAATGCGGGTTGAGCCAAGTAATTAGTTCCTAAAGAAAGTCAAGTATTTCTATTTGATTGTGTAATATGAATAACTTGGTAATTTGATTAGCACTAATGCCTCCTTGATTTAATTATAATAAATGATGTATTTTTGTATAGATGTATACATAAGATAAATCTTTATAAAATATTATTTTCCTTTTAAAAATTTTATATATAAAAACTAGATAATATAGTTCTTTTCTAAGATTTAAAATTCATGTTATTACTTCAGACTTTTACATATTTGTTCAAAAATTTCAGACTTTTACATATTTATTCAATCTTATTGTTTTATTACTTTACTATAATGGAGCTTTCTCTACTTTGCACAACTTTTTCATAACTTTTTGGAGGTAAAAATGAATTTAGAAGAAAATAATTATGATTATATTGCAGGAAGTAATTTTGGATATTCCCAGAAATGCTTATTGGTGGGGAAAAGGGGGACGTTCCCCCCCCCCAGCTTGTCATATTTTTGAAATAAAATCGACCAAATTTTCTGTATAAAAAATTCATAGGGGAAATTTTTTTCCCAGGGGGGGGCATCATTAAATAATTAAATTATTTCACCCCTTGTGGAAAATATCTTAAGCCGCCTCTGTATATTCTAATTAAACCTTATCGATTAAATTAACTAATGTAAATATTAAATTGTTTTGATATATTCTCTCTTATATACGTTAAATCCTTCAGTGGAATCATTTAATTAAAAATATATTAGTTTACTATAAAAAATAAAAAAAGTACTGAAAGGGACTGTAATTGTAATTTCAAGTGACCCTCCATTCCGATTTACAACAGTACCCTTGAAATCTTTTATCTGATCAAAAATATGGGAGATAACGTCGTTTTCCAGACTTGAAAAGTGTTTATTTCTGATCATTTCTCCATTTCTCCTAATGATCAAGATATGCGCAAGTCACTTTTGCAGAGCAACTGCAAATGGTTCAGAGAAACAAAATTAATGATATCATAGTTCATACTTGATTTTATTTTTTATAAGGCCAATTACAATCAAATCACTTTGGTCATTTTCCCAAAGTATCTCTGCCAGAAATTGCTGCTAATGTAAAAAGTATTTTTCTAAAGATATATTTATTGTTATCAGTATTTATCGCAAACAAAATTAACTAACTAACAGTTAATGAGCAAAAAGCTAGACATGATGTGGCAAACATCCAGAAGTTAGATTTAGCTTAATCTTAAATGATATTGAAAAGTAAAGCAACCTGAACCATGGGGGGGTGGGGAACTTTGCCTCCTCTTTTATACTTTGATGAAAATATTAAAGTTTAAGTTTAGAAGAAGCTCTGATTGTTCAGATCTCAGTAGTCCGAGTTCTAAACAATATTCCCTGAGCAGTCAACCGAGAAAAACAATTCAGATTTCTAGGTCACCGTTTATCTTTCAAAACAACAATTTCAATTTCATTTCTATTTTCTGATATTTGAATTCAATCCGATGTATTTAGGCAGCTTATTAGTTTAATTTGAACTGTACAACTTTTATTATTGCTTGCATTTTGTGCATTAACTTACGCTAGCTGTATGTATGTACTGTACCAACTCGTGGATTTCTCGTACCGACCCGCCATGGCTCTTCGAACTCTACCGACGCACATATAGCATTTTTTGTACCAGCTCAGCTGCAGCTCTATGTCATGTACCGACTTTAGCATTTCTTGTGCCGGCCCACCCTAGCGGTAAGAACTGTAAGCGCGTTCTTTATCACTTTTTGTTTGTACCGGCATACCCTAACATACTATTGTACAGGACTAGCTAACATTTTGACTCCTTGCCCTAGTTTTTACATATATTTTGGTTTTATAATCTAAGACTTGTAAAAACAAAGAATTCTTTGCCACAAAATCAAATTTTCAAACCCTATTTCTAAAATGGTAAAACCCCGTTCTATGATATTTCAAACGTGAATTATTTGATTCAATATAATTCAAAGTTTGAAACATCTAAAGTCTGTGACATTGGATATAGGGATTAGAAAATTAGAGTTTATGAATTCCTTTCCACATTGAATAATTATTTGAAATATCTGCATGCTATTTGGAAACTTTGAATGGACGAAATAGACCAACTGTATAACAATCTCTTCCTGGCTAAGTTTACAAAGATTTAGAAAAATTGATTAATTTCTCTGTTGTGCAAAGGGTGTGGGGAGGGGGCAATCTCTTCCTGGCTAAGTTTACAAAGATTTAGAAAAATTGATTAATTTCTCTGTTGTGCAAAGGGTGTGGGGAGGGGGGGGGGGTTACCTGAAGCCAAAGTTTTTTGTTTATAATATTTAACAGATAAATCTAGAAAAATCTAAAGACGGAACTCCAATCTTGTGAGATGATTTAAAGTATATTGGATTCAAATTTTTCAATCAGGTTGAAGTGAATCTATAGTCTATATAGTCTACAACATTCTTCAGATAAAATGGATATTCTGCTCGGAGCTGCGTTCCTAATTTTTTATCATATTATTTTATTTTAAGAATATGTTTATATTTTATCACAGTTATAATTTTTAATGTTTATATCTAATAGTTGTTTTAAACCTGGTCTTAAAATTAAATTTTTGCTCTGCACTTTCTCTTTAGATTATTATGTTTCAGTTGTTTTGTTTCTCCCTTCGTTTAAATTGAAAGCATGATCTAAATATATCTCTACTAGGCTTTCAGGGGTCCCATTTTCTAGTAGAAATTCAAGCTGTTAGCCGTTACCATTATAGGCTGCATTTTTTAAATCGTATTTTGCGGATTTTTCAATTGAAATTTCCGAAAATATTTAACTTTTCTGTATCAGACAAAATGTTCATCTTTCATCACCCATTAACCTTCCCTGGGTAATGTGAAATGTCACAAAAAAATTGGACCCGATCGCGCGGTTCAGCCGTAATTTGACGATTATTAGGAACTGCAGACAGACAGGAAAACAAGTACAATATATATAGATATTAGATATATCTAAGATTGTCAAACAAAATTCATTAAATAAGATAGTTAAATAATTTCTTAAATATTAGTGTAAAGCATTTCTCTTATGAAGTTGATGAGTTATATTTCTATATAGCAAAAGAAACTAACCTGATTTAAATAATTATTATTATGAACACAAATCATGAAATATTTTATAAATATGCATTTGTGCTTGTACTTTTTAAATTCTGTTTTATTTCATTGAAAATTTCAATTTAATTTACAAATATTAAATGCATTTGAATTCTGTAATGCTTTTAACATTTTTAAATGTATTTTAAACTCTCTAAATGCACTTCAGGTTTTAGATAAATTAAATGTATTTGATTAACTAGGTGTACGTGTTGCATATTATTGATTATGATTATAATTTTTAACTTTTAATTTTAACATGCTGTGTTTTTATCATTGACTTGACAGTAATTAGATAAATAAAGTTAAAAACAAATTGCAAACCACTATGTCTATTTGTGCGTAAATATCTACAAATTAAAAGAACTGTTTAAGTATTTTATTAGTTTTTTTCAAAAAATAGGCAATGCCATTATCTTATAATGGGACTAAATAGTTTTCGATTTTTTTAATTGATTTATTTTTGGGCATAAAAATACCTTCACATTTAAATATACCAATTTTTAAATATAGTTGAATCACTATATCTTTGCAACTTGAAGGCGTAAACCTTTGTATTTCAAACTAATTAATCCTGGCAGGATTCAAAGATTTATATAATATTAAGGTCTACCACACCAGGTTACAAAGATATATGGATAAGAGTTGCATTGTTCCTACCTGGATACTCGTCTAGTTCAGGACAAGGGGAAAGATATCTCTCTTCTATCGGAGACAGTGGTATACAGCTCTCATCTGTTAGTGGAGAAGCGTATTCAACCTCATAATCCACCTCTCTTCTATCCCAATACCCTCTCCTTCTTCCTTCTTCTCTACCCCTCCCCTCATTTTCCTCTCTTCCCTCACTCTCCCCTCGTAATCTTCCCTCAATATCCCAGTTTCCTCTTTCCTCGCTTTCAAACTTTTCCCGCGCAAAGCTGCTTTTCCCTCCTTTGTTTTTCTCCTCCTTTATCACTTTCCCGTCTGAGAAGTCATTACCAAGCTCCTAAACCGACATCAACACATGTTATATTATACTAGCTTGGGAAACCAGCTTTGCCTGGACAATATAACCTTCTCAATCAAAGTAAACCCACTCAACTTTGAATGCTTTAAAAAGCTAAAATAAATTTTTTGATTCTACCGAGTTCACAAATCAGTTGAAGTGTTTCGGAGTTATGATTAGACATCCAACAGGAAGAACAACAGAGATTATAACTTTATATATTTAAAGACTATTCTGGCAACCCAGCTCTGTCTGGACAATTTGAACGTCTCTCATACAAGTCGACCAACTTAATTTAGAATTGTAAACCCAAAAGTACTTTGATGTATATAAACCATATTGTGAATGACTAAAATCTAAATTTAAAATTACAATTGCAATCGGTTTAAAACTACCTTTTTAATAAAAAAGAAAATTCTAAGATATCAATTCATTTTCCTCTGATTAGTTAGAGCGGATAGAGCTAAGATAATTCTGAAACATTAAAAAAGTATTGATCACGTTCTTTTTCGTTGTTTTAACAATTTTAACAAATAGGTTTTCTTATCGAGCAAACTTAATAACAAGTTCAATTTTTATTTTTTCTACCAAATTTTTGTTATGACCACTGACTTTTAATCTATAATTGAGCAATTTAATTGAAAATTTATTAAAAGGTAGATAACGGCAACATTTTATGCGCAAGAATTCACATTGCACATCAAAGCTGCATTTTCAAATTTTGCTCATTTATCAACATTGGGAAAATTATGCATTAAGTTTCTTCCATGATGTAGTTTAATACCTTTAGGAAAAGGAATTTACAAGTTTGTTAATATTCTAATTTTCTAAATTTATAAATTTTTTAGTTGTGTGCGTATTAATAGTTTAAAGGGAGTGTTCGTGAAAAATGAAAGAGGTTTTATGCTTGCGTCGAAAAATATTCGACGGTGATCGCTACTTATCTTACTTCTATCTGTTGCGTCATTAAGGAGAAATTGGTTAAACACGACTCATACCGAAAAATGTAGTGTCCATACAAAATTAGAAAGTTGCAATATTAAAATAAAATTCAATGATTATAAGTTGTAATATCTAAATGATTTTTTGGATTTAAATTTAATTATTTACAATCTGAGTCGAATATTGCAACTTTCTGAATTTTCTGATCAGGATGAAGTGCTCACGACTTGATGAACATTCATTTTAATTTCATCTGAAAGCAAATAATATAGATAATAAAATTCGCATCATTCTTAGGTATGAGTCGTGTTTACCATTTTCTTCTTAATGACGCAACACATAGATTAAAAGTAGCGATTACCAACTAAGAAATTAAAAAAGTTAAAAAAAAATTCTTACTGATTATTAACAAAGTTGTAATTCCTTTTACTAAACCTTTGGATGTTTTAGACATTCGTTTTGAAGTAAAGCAAAACTTTACTAAACTAGTTTAAAGAAGTTATACTTTTCATATGCATGCATGCATTAGGGTGGTAAACAATATATAATAGGATGGTTCAAAAACTTGTAAAGTAAACAATATATAATAAGATAGTTCAAATACCTGGACAATATATAATAAGATAGTTCAAATACCTGGACAATATATAAAAGGATGGTTCAAATACCTGGACAATATATAAAAGGATGGTTCAAATACCTGGACAATATATATTAGGATGGTTCAAATATCTGGACAATATGTAAAAGGATAGTTCAAATACCTGGACAATATATATTAGGATGGTTCAAATACCTGGACAATATATATTA